TTCAAGTGTCCAATCTTTATAGGCAAGACACCACTCAAGTCTTTCCTGTCTCATCTTCGTCGTCAACCCAGGCTTCCTCGTCGGCTTCGTCTTGTTGTAACCGGCTGCTCGAAGGACTCTCCATACGGTGGACGACGAGACGTTGTAGCCGTGAACACTAAGATCACCAGCAATATCAGCGCAGCTCTTCTCTCTCCCATACCTATCGCGGCGTACGTTCTTAAGAGTAGCGTCGTGTATTTCTTCTTGTTTACGAGGGCGGCCTGCGCGCGGGGCATCTTCGAGGTACTGCGGAAGGATCTTAATTAGGCGTGCGTTAGGCTCAAAGCCTCGCTGGCAGGCTCTACCATAAATTGAGTCGATCGTACGCGGCGATATGCCTGTCATTTCTGCGATTTCGCGTGTAGATTTGCCACTAAAAGGTGACTTCAATGCAACAATAAAAGAGCGGGTCGATATATCCGTATTTGGAGCCATGGTAGATCAAAAACACTCAAAAAAATGAGTATACAAGCTATCGCCAGCTTCAAAAAATTGGTGTGGGCGCCAAGAATAGTCGGGCCGATAGGCTGGCGGCTTAGCGTGGCGCTAGCAAGAACTTTTGACAGTCACCTCCGTACCACACCATCCCATCCCACACTTAGCGCGCACACACGCATTCTCCCAGCTCGAACCAGCCCAACCGCAGCTCGATCCCAAATGGGGGTGTATCCCTGATCATTATTTTTTCTCCCCTCTCTTTCGTTGATGCGTGCACGTGCATAGCGCAAGTAACTAAGTACGTAGCGTCATGTTAGACAAGTGCGGGGTGCAAGGGACCGACGGACAGAGAACCCGGATAACCCTGCACCTGGAGTGTGTGTAAAGTTTACGAACTAAGATTAGATTGAGTATCTAGCGTCGCTGTAGGGGTTTTTTTTTTCGTTTTAGCTGGGGTGTGAGAGAGAGAGAGGGGGAGGTCCGGGCGCGCGTGTGTGTGTGTGTGGGCGCGTGCGTGATGGGCTGATATGGCGAGGGTGAGTGCGTGCGTGAGGGGGGGATGTGAAACCGACGGTATAGGGCTAGGAGCGGGCGTGTGTGTGTGTGTGTGTCTGTGTGTGGAATGAATTTCTTTTATTTATTTATTTGGTAGAGGGTTTTCTTCTGTTGATGGAGACAAGGTACACCTACACCTATGTGAGTAGTGGTAAAGAAAGAAAGGAAGGAAAAGAAAAGAAAAGAAAGATAGATAGGCGCACGGAAAGATAGCAAAGATATTGACACGTCACGGCATCATGGACCAAGAATGAGCATAGAGACCAGTCATAACTGGCTCTGGGTATAAGATTCCAACCAAGTGAAGCTACATCGTCGCAATCAATGCAACAGACCAATATTGTAGCTTCTACACATTACATATCATCCACCAAACATCATGATTCCACATAAACCTATCTCGTGTACCGTGTATTCACGTGACAAATGTCTTCCGCGAGACCTGCTTAAGCGGCAGAAGACTCCACCTTGGTAGTGACATTCTCAACTGGGATTTCAAGGTGCTTCTCAGCCAGGTTCATCTCGGCAGCAAAGGTGCTGTGTGGCTTCCACTTGCGAGAAGTGCGAGGAGTGCTCTCCTCCAACATCTTGTCGACTTGCTCGAGAGTAAGACCCTTGGTCTCGGGAACGAAGAAGTAGGCAAAGAGGACTAGTCATCTGTTAGTAACATGATTCGACAAGCACAAACAGTGAAGAAAACTTACAGGAGATGCAGCAGAGAGAACCCCATAGGAAAAAGACGTTGGAACCGAGGCGGGCCGAGTCCTCACGGTCGGCAACAAGGTAGGGAGTAATGATACCGATGATGCAGTTCCAGAACCAGTTGCTGGCAGTCGAGAGACCAACACCGCGAGATCGGATGGTAAGAGGGAAAATTTCACCAATAACAATCCATGCACAAGGACCCCAAGTGGTGGCGAAGACGGAGATGTTCAAGCAGATGAAGGCGATCATGGCGCGAGTGGCGTTCGGGTTGGCGGGGTGGTCAGCCGTGTTCTTGCCAGCAGTGGCACCAATGGCGCCGACAATGAACTGCATGATAACCATACCAGCGGCACCGAAAATGAGCAGAGGGCGACGTCCAATCTTCTCAACCATGACGAACGAGGCTGGGGTAGAGCACACGTTGACGAGGGTGGTGATGAGAGAGATGAGGAAGGGGTTGCTGATGGAACCGAGCTGCTGGAAGAAAACAGGCCCAAAGTAGAAGATGAAGTTGATACCAGTCAGCTGTTGCATAGCCTGCATACAGATACCGAGCGTAGTGCGGCGCGAGTTGGACGAGGCCTTGCTAATCTTGCCTTCGAAGCAGGCCATCCATGAGCCAAGGTAGCTGGTCTGGGGAACGACAGACATCTCGTACTCGTGGTTGGCAATAATCTCAGCCAGCTCATCCTGAATGTACTCTGAGTCGAGGGGCTGGCCACGAACACGACCAAGCGCAGCGGCAGCCTTGTCAAGCTTTCCCTTCTTGACCCAGAATCGAGGAGACTCTGGAAGAAGAGCGAGACCGACAGCGAGAATGATGGCCCACAGAAACTGGACGGCAATTGGGATACGGTAGGAGCCAGTGTCGCGGCGCTCCTGAGTAGCGTAGACGACGCAGTTGGCCAGCAAGATACCAATCGTGATGCAGAATTGGTAGCCTGTAAGAGTCAATCACCGTGCAATCCCGGGCTGCTTCCATATTCACTTACCCGCAACAACGGCACCACGGACCTTCTTGGGTGCAATCTCCGACATGTACAGAATGACAATCGAGGAGATGAAACCAACACCAAAACCAGCAATAAGACGACCAGCAGTCATGACACCGAGGCCAGTAGAAGCAGTCTCAAGGATACCACCAACAACGAAGATGGCGCATCCCAGGATAATGGTAATTCGGCGTCCAATAAAGTCTGCAATATCTCCAGCCGCAATGGCACCGAAGAAAGTACTGTAATATATTAACGTTTGCAGGCCATGCTACGGTGATTGATTAAACCTACCCAGCAGACAGGATGGAAGTGACGAGTGATTGTTGCCATGGAGCGATGACAAAGGTGTTCTTTCGGTAGTCGGTGATCTGTGGGTTCAGGTGGTCGAGGCCGGGGAATCGAACGTCGGGGTACTCTGCTCCGGTGTATTGCTTGATGAAGTAGTCCATGTTCAGGACGCCTCCCATCCAACCAGTGTCATATCCAAAGAAGATACCACCGAAAGCTGCGAAAGCAACAATCAAGTACGCACGAACAGTAACGGGGGCTTCGACACGACTGACATCAGCCGTGCCGGTGACGGGGACAACTCCACCACCTGGCATGGTTGTGGTTGTTGTTGCTGTGCTGGGAAGAATTGAAGAAGGGCGCAACGGATTGGAGAAGAGCTCTTCGCACAAGAAGAGGAGTCCCGCACGGCGCTGGAAGCAGGAGATGCTGGGGACGTCTGTGAGACAGGATCAGCGGCGGGATCCCCAAGGCTTTAATATGGCACCTCGAGCAGCGGTGATACTGCAGCACGGTGCGCGTGTGGCTTTCTACCGTAACATTGCACACTGCAACGCTAGGCCCAGCCGGGGCACTACTCCGCATCTTACCATTCTGGAAGGATTGCTACTATTCTCCAAGGGCCGTTCGCCCAGGTCCAGCCTGGCCATGAGCGAGTCTGCGTGTAAGGTTGGCAGGCAGGTGATTCGACCCTTGGTCCCAGCTGGATTTTGGCCTGCTCAGCTTCTACGCGTCGAAGGCTGTAAGCTGTAAAGTCGGTACCACACATGTGTTGCAGATGGCCGCAAATGTGGCTCGATTAGGCAGTACAACAGTTGGTCTGGGATACGAATGGCCAAGGGAGGCGTCGAAACCTGGGGCGCCAAGCTCACCCAAGCTACCCATGGGGGTGTGTCCCAGCGGGCGAGACCTGCAGACTTTTTCCCACAAGAACCTGGTAGACGACCGAGGCTTTGATGCATCTGGCGAATGAACTCGGCATGACGGCCAGGACATGAGCGCTAACCGACGCCCTCTCCAGCCAAGACGTCTTGTTGTGCCTTCAGTTTGCGGGCGTCTGGTTCCCGACGCATCACGCTGGCTGCCCATGAACAGCGCAACCAACACCTGACCGTGAATGTCAAACTAGCTCTGTCTTGTCCACGGCCAGTATTTGCTGCTACACAAACGCCACGCGCACCGGCGCCTGACTGTGCGTTTACTTTTTGTCAAACAAACGTCGATCTGAGGCACCTTCGCTTGCCCCGACTCGGAGTCGTTAGTGTTTGTCCCAGACGGCCGTTGTGCATCGCGATGGTGTGTATTCGGGACTGGGGAGGCGTGTCCCGCCTCGAAGACCATTGCTTTGGGTGGGTCTGGCATATCTTGCAGGCAGTACATTTACCTGCACAAAATGATTGGCTCGTCTCGAGAGGTGGAGTGGTAGCGGGACATATTGTCTCCAATAGCGACGGCGGTCCCGAAAGATGGTGTGCCTGCTGCCCTGCACATGCCTGTCTGACCGTTCATAGGTCAAGCACGGAAACGTCAAGATCAACAGAAAGGGGTGTCATTCCCACCTGGGCCGTTGCTCAGGTAGCAAGTTGTGTGACTGCAGCCGGGTATTGCTATTGTCGTCACTAATCCGTTTTGCTAGCCACAGCCGTGCGGCGCATCTGGAGAACCTTGCAGCCAGACAAGCAGCCAGCACCGGAGCGACAACGAACGAATAAGCAAAGACGGGTAGTCGCTCACACATGCGTGTCACCGCATCCTTTTGGTGGCTGAGTTTCGGGGTGGCACCCCGCTCCCAAGGCGTCCCGCGCTCCAGTGTTGCTTTGCGACGCCTCGTGACAGCCGCCCCACGACGGGGGACAAGGTGCTGCAAGCCACCAAGGTCAGGGCTTTTAATTGTATCTGCCGTGCGTGATCCCGCGGACAGGTTTGGGTTGGGTGGTTCCGACGAGGCATGGGCGAGCAAGGGTAGGCCGAAAGCTAAAAGGCCAACGGCATTGGCTTGGTGTCTCGGCGACGGCGCGCTGGGCCGGATAGGCGCGTGTGGAGGGAGTGTCTGGGTCTCGAAGCGCGGTTGCGAGTGCAGAAACGTGTCACACGCGGTGGTGCTAGAAAGTCGTAGTAGGTCTCTGGACCACCGTCGCTACCGCTCTTGCTGCCTGGAGTCTCCATGGCATCGAGTCGCCTGAGGTGGTGTATGGGTGGTGGGATGTCCGGGGGCCAGGCGTTCTTCTCCACGGGGCTCTAGTCCAAACGTCTGGACAAGCTTGTGCGCGAAGGGTCTCCTAGTGCCCAGTAGCACTCGACTAGCGCCGCGTTCCGTTTAAGCGCTGAATCAGAGAACACGATGCGACCCATTCTCTCTCCACCCTTCGAACGACACTGCCAAAGCCTTTGCGAATCACCAGAGCCGCAATTTCGCCTTGTGTTGCCCACAGCTTGGCTGCAGCTGTGGAGAGGCGCTACAGACGCTCTCACGGTGTCTCGCCTACACCCAGACCGCGCCGCTTGGAGTCTGTCATAGGGGCTGCAGCACCCGCGAAGCCATGAGGAAGACGTGGTCAGCGACCGGCCCGGCATCTATGCCAAGTATGTACTGGAGTCACTGCTTGTCCAGTACCAGCTTCACAGATGTCAGCCCCAATGCATCTCAACAGTCGTGATGATGACCAACATAGCGAGGGGAACAGAGTCTCGAACGAGCTCCAGTTATTTGCTGGACCCCACATGCGTACCTCCATCATTTCAGCCTTGAATCACTCCACCTGACTCGGGCTGAGAGAGGGCCTTTGTCGCCGCTGAATCAGCATCACCAACCACGCTAGTGACTCCACTGTTGTACACAAAGCCCCATCCACATCGATTTTACTGCCCGGTACAACAAGTCCCGAGAATGTCGTGTTATCCTTGTTGTCGCCCCATTGTGTCCGAATTCCGAGCTCTTGGTATCAGCCAGACTCCTAGCTCAGGATGAAGCCCCACGTCGGCACATCCACTGTCTTTTCACATTTCCGAAGAATTGCCGGAGTTTATCGCGGTCATGTTTCGGAGCGTGCGCATTGTTGGCTTAATGGCGTATCGTGGGCAGACATGTTTAGATGCGTCTCATTTCTCGTATCGCAGAAACTTGACGTTCCTGTCCGCCACTTGAACAGAATTCGAGCAGCCAACTGTTGATCTTCCTGTCTGGCCACCGGGACGCATGCAAGTAGCCTGAGGCAAGTGTCTTTTTTTTCGTTTTCGTTCGAGAGCCACAATATCGCTAGCTTGTGGTGCGACTCACTGGATACCAAGAAGCAGTCCCGACGAATAATTGGCACGAGAGTTTGGTGCGCAAATCAACGGCGCATAATGACAACAAGCAGCTGCAAGAAAGAGATGGCACAAAGCGAGGCGAAGCAGTGGTGTTAGAAAAAGGTATGGTGGAATATACGGGGGGCGAGGAGAGAAAAGGCTTCGGGTCTCCCGGAAAGCTGGCAGGTGCGATCAGTCGACCCTTTCCACGTGGCTCGACACCATGAGGGATGTGCGACACTCGCAAGATGCAAAGTCTCACCTCGGAGTCTCAGTATCTTGTCAAGACAACAATGCAGGTAAACAAGCGCACTGCTACAACCAAGTCATCCCGCTTCTTGCACACCATCACAAGTACGCAGTGTAGAGATGCAGCTCGCACCTACTCCACATCAGCCCCAGTTCGCACGGCCAAAAGGCTCCACTCATGCAGAGGACAAACTTTGTCGGTAATGTTGCTGTTGCGCTATTGTCATATCATTCCATTGCATTTTCTTTTCTCATGCATACTTGATTGGTCTTTCACATCGTGGAAAGAATCCTTGTAACAATCAGTGTAATATCGTACAATGGAATATATACAGGGGCACTAGCAACTTGATAGGCTGGCACGATACGACTAGGTATAAGCTGTCTCCCGCTGCAAATAAGGCTAACAATACATCACTAAACATGTTACAGAGACAGGTCATGTACATCTTCTACTGTATGAAATTCTATTCTAGGGTATCTCAGCTGGCACCAGTCTACATTTCAATCCATTATCAAGCGTCAACGACAAAGTTATGTGCTCCTTAAAATCCTGCGAGTCCAAGTTCTCGATGCTGGAAAACGCTTGCACTAGCCTGGCAACCGTGTACGACGACTCGATCAGCGCAAATTTCTGCCCAGGACAGATCCGCGGGCCTCCGTTAAATGGCAAAAACTCCCATCCGGGTCGCAACTCCTCCCATCTCTCCGGTCGGAACTCCAGCGCATCGGGCCCGAAAAACTCTTCTCGCCTGTGCATTACGAAAGTGCTGTACGAGACGACATTGTTACGCGCAACAAATAGAGGTGAATTACCATCAGGGCCGCCACCAAAAGGAATTACCGTGTCCTTGTTCGCCATACGGCTATTGGTAGAGATGGGAGGGAACAGGCGAAGTGCTACAGACAAGAAGCATTAGCATTGCAACCCAGGAAAAGATGGTAAATGCTCGACGACTTACTTTCGTGAATCACATATCGCAGATAAGTCATACTCTGAACGGCGTCGTAGTTAAGAGGATATGTCCAACAGGCGAGGACCTCCTTCCGCAGCTTGTCCCAGACTCTCCGGTCCCGAGCGAGCACAAAGAAGGTAAAAGTTATCAGGCCAGCGGTTGTATCGCGTGCCGCAAGAAGCATATTGACAATCTGATCACGCAGTACGATGGGGTTCTCGGTAGCTTTAGCCAGTTCGTTGATAAAGACGTAGTTCTTTTTCGAGCCTTGGTCGAGGCATTTTTCCGGATACAAAGCTTGCTGCCGTCGGAACGCGAGTGCTTTTGTAACAAACTGGTCGGCATAGGCATGTACCTCTGCACACGCTTTTTCGAATTTCGAATCTCGATGGATAAACATGAGGGACCCGAGTCTCAGGCGATAAATGATGCCTTTTTGAGCAACATCAAGAGCATCGTGGAATGACTGGGCAGAGCCAGACCCGTCAGAAGCCAGAAGCCCGATCGGCTCTCCAAACAAGTATTCACTATTGGAATCGAGTATCTGTGGTAAATCAGCCGGACTGCATCTCCAGCCAGTGCATCATAGCAAAGACATACCATGCGGAAGAGCAAGTGCTGCAGATCAACGGTGTAATTTTCCTTGGCAATGAGCTGGATAAGCTGGTCCACACGCGTCTCGAAAATACTAAAATCCGTTATCTGACCTCGGACAAAACTCGGTCGGATCAGGGCCCTCTGGTGGGACCACACTTCGTTATCGGTTGTGAAGATGCCATTTCCGAGGAGTGGTGACGCGCTCTTGCTCCTGAGCGGACCCATGCCAAAGTCGTCAAACTGCAATGACAGGACAGACTGCAGGACTCTTGGATCGCACGTGTTGATGGTAGTGCGGAAAAAGGTGTTTGTTGTGAATGTGCGACCATGCTTGGCATGTCGTATTCTGAGCAAATCCAAAAGGCCATGATTCTTGGCGGCAGCCAGATTGGCACGTACCACGTCGGTTCCGAGAAAGGGATCCTTTTGGGGTAGGCGTTGTGGGGGGAGGCAAGCGTGTTTTTTCTTCAATTGCTTGCGGGATAACTGGCGGGCGGTCCATGTGTAGAGACAGTAAAAAACGGTCAAAGCCAGGGCACTGGCAAGAATCGGGAGGGAAACTGCCATGTTTGGGAGAATCTAGTTTGGATAGATGATCCCAGGCAAGCCTTTCCGCATTGCTGCTTGGTGTCATAATGAACAGTGACTTTGCTTCGTATTTGTATTCTTTCTTGCCACAGATAAGCGCCTACACTTGACTCGAACCCAACCTCCATAAACACGACGTCCGCCTTTAGCTTCCCCCTATCTAGCACTGCTTACGTACTACTGACCCAGTGTAAACTTTTTCACGCCTATAACGATTGGTGATAAGTCCAGACATCGTACTGTTATCTGTGGTCACAAGGACACTGCAAACTTTGGTTCCAGTAACGAGCGGTCAAGAGTTCTCCGTGACCTTGACTAGAGCAACAACGGGCCGAGCCGATGCGGAGATTTAATTGTATCGCTCAAATGAGGCTGTGGTACGTTGCCGCTATGCTACATTGGTACTCTACTGCGTTGTGAGAACCGCTGCGTCGGCGCAGCAACGTCATCCATACAACAAACAACAAATATTGCTCAGGCGATTGTGGCTGGTGAGACTGAACAAATGGCGGATAGAACGAACAAGGAAAAATCTCTGCTAGAACTCTTTTTTTTTCTTTTTACCCTTCCGTTTCAACCGTCACCGCCATTGTATGACTTTATGCAGACGAGAGAGATAGAGGTATATCGTAAGAATCAACAACGTAGAGGTCTAAGCTTCCAACACAAGCGATCTCACTATCTCTGAAAACTCCCCCCCCCCTCGAGAAAAAAAGATGGACCGATTAGAGTATGCAAGACGCTCCAGAATAGGTAATCCACGCCCCCCTATCACTCCAAGGCCTATCACTGGAGCCACGTGTTTTACCCTGTAAAAGGTGGTTTCTCTCCTTAACCTTTTTCCTCTTGTCTCTCTCCCTCTTTGGGTGTTCCCAGCACAATGGTACACGCGAGTATTTTGCACAAATGTAGTAAAAAAAATGATAATAATAATAGGGGGGAGTGTACGGAGGTGCCTCACAAAAGTTTTGTCCCACGCTAATCTCGGCGCTTCGGCATAACTCTTCTTGGCGCAACTCCCACCTTTGAGCTGAGTAGCTGTACGATTTGTCTGTATCTATCGTTACAATGTCTCCTAATACTGATCCTTACACCCGCACCTTAATTGTGGCGTTAAAGTCACCTTCTGTTGGCAAGTCTACATCACAGATCTCTGAACTTACTGGTGTTCATCCTCGTACGGTCAATCGTATCTATAGTAGAGCTATTGAGGTCTGGTTTCGAGCCAAACGTTCTCCCTCTTAAGATCCTCCCAGAGCACGTACAAGACGCCCCTCGCTCTGCCGACCTTCAAGCAGACGATAAGGTAAAGGAGCAGATAATCAACAAGTACGACGTGATAGATA